ACGGCTGTGCCTGTGTTGGACCCTATCAGGATGTGTTTAATCAACGCAAGGTCTGTTTCCAACAAGACGTTTATCGTCAATGACTTTTTTAAAGATCAGGAGTTGGATTTTCTGTTCGTCATGGAATCTTGGATTTCTGATGGTGAGTCCAGCGCCCTGGTGGAACTACTACCCCCGGACTGTCTGTGTTTCAATGCCCCGCGGCCATCAGGTCGGCGCAGGGGGGATTATTAACAGTTTTTAAAACGAACTTGGCCTGTAAACAGTTGTCCATCCCGGTGTCCCGCGCCAGCTTTGAGCTAAGCGTCTTTGAACTCGGACACTCTCCTACGGTTCTGTACGCTCTCGTCTATCGACCCCCTCGTTCTAAGGACTTCATAAATGAATTCTCTGACTTTTTGGCTGATATCACACAGAGATACACTCACTTTTTGCTTATTGGTGACTTTAATTTGCATGTGTGTTGTCAGGAGAAGCCCTTAGTGAAGGACTTTCTAGATTTACTGGACTCTTTTGGCTTAGCTCAGCAGGTGAACGGTCCCACCCAGGAACACGGTCACACGCTGGACCTCGTTTTAACACGCGATGTCTCTGTTTCTAATTTGAAAATCGGTGACAATTTTTTTTTTCAGATCACATGCCTGTATTGTTTGACTTCACCCCCCCCCTTGTCATACTGCTAAGACGTGCGTTCCTGCACGTACGTGTTCCATTAACCGTTTCACTGCTGCTCGTTTTAATGAAGGTTTTAATTCTGAGAGGATCGAACAGTTCCCAGTGTCTCTTACCACTGAGGAGCTAACCTCTCAGTTCAACTCTGCTGTTTAAATGTTCTGGACCATGTTGCTCCCCTTAAGACCAGAAAAACGAAACTTAAATCAGAGCCTTGGCTGAATGACGTCACTCGAGCCATTAGGCAGCAGTGTCGCAGAGCTGAACGAAGGTGGAGGAAGGACAGGCTGCAGGTTTCTTTTCAAATGTTAAGGGAGAGTTGGCGTCACTATCAGAAAACCATTAAAGCTGCCAAATGTAAAATCTTTCCCTGATTTAATTGTCTCCAACTCCCACAACCCCCGAGTTCTTTTCTCCACCCTGAACTCAGTTCTACACCTCATTGAGCCTTCACCTCTGGAAGCCTCAACTGAGCTGTGTGAAAACTTCCTCCATTTCTTTTTAGAAAAAGTGGCAAACACCCGGGCACTCATTTCTCCACCAGCTCATGATCTGTCCATCCCATCTCAGTGCGTGGCTGTGTTTGACCACTTTGAGCCCATCTCTCTGTCTTCTCTGGAGCAGGTAATGTGCAGCATGAAGCCATCTGGTTCCCCCTTTGTTGTGGTCCCCCCTCGACTACTAAAGGAAGTTTTTCCTACCCTGGGTCCTTTTATCCTCGCTATTCTGAATAGCAGTTTATCCTCAGGTGTGGTGCCAAAAACTTTTAAACATGCTGCTGTCGAGCCCCTCCTGAAAAAACCTAACCTTGACCCCTCAGTCATGTCCAACTTCCGGCCTGTCTCCAGACTCCCATTCACCTCTAAACTACTGGAAAAAATTGTGGAGTCTCAGTTGAAACAGTTTTTGGGGGATCACGCTATCCTAGAGTTATTCCAATCTGGCTTCAAATCTCTCCATAGCACTGAAACTGCTCTGCAGATGGTTTTTAATGACATTTTCATATCCACAGACGCAGGTGATTCTGTGCTGCTTGTCCTATTGGACCTTACATCTGCTTTTGACACCATCGACCACAAGATCCTCATTTTTAGACTGGAGCAGTGGGTGGGCATCACAGGGTCAGCCCTTAAATGGTTTGGGTCCTACCTCTCCGACAGAACCTTCTGTGTCAATATCAAAGATTTTAGTTCGGCATCGACAGCGCTCCAGTGGGGGGTACCGCAGGGGTCCATCCTCGGTCCCCTTCTCTTTTCTTTATACCTGCTGCCACTAGGTGCTACCTTCCGCAAACACGACATACCCTTTCATTTCTATGCCGATGATTGCCAAATTTACTTCCCCCTGAGGCACAGAGGCGCACGCTCTATTCAGCCTCTTCTTGACTGCCTGGCTGACATCCGGGACTGGATGGCTTTAAACTTCTTAAGCTTCAATGAGAAGAAGTCTGAAGTCATGCTGTTCCATCCCAGTGGCTCACTCATGAACCATGACATTGACTTTTTCTCTCTAGCCCCGCTAGAGAAACAAAAGGTCACTAATCTGGGGGTGATAATGGACCCGTCCTTAAAACTCAACAGTCACGTAAACATGATGGTCAAATCCTGTTTTTTTCAGCTGAGACGGCTGTCTAAGCTGAAGCCTATACTCTCCAAAAAGAACCTTGAGACAGTGATCCACGCCTTCATAACATCTAGGCTTGATTACTGCAATTCACTTCTGTTTGGAATCAGTCAGTCCTCCATTGCTCGTCTACAACTGGTCCAAAATGCTGCAGCCCGATTTTTAACTGGTACAGGCTATAGAGAGCACATCACGCCAGTTTTGGCCTCCCTGCACTGGCTACCCATTCACCTTCTGATCCAATTCAAAATTCTCATGTATGTTTTTAAATCACTGAACAGTTCC